AGACCGGCCTACTGTGAGTTGCGCTGTAGCTGAAGACCCTCGGCTGGAACCCAGGTGGCTGTGGTTGCCGTGGTAACCCTGGAGACGCGGGATCTAGGTGGATTCTCCTGGAGGCCGTGTCCCGTTATCACGATGACGGATTCTGCCGGTGTCTCAGCGGTTCAGCTCTGGTGGAGTTTGCCAGGAGACTTTCTGTCTCGTTCACTCTTGATTTCTGCTCGGCTTCTCTGCAGGCGGTCGTGCAGATGTTATCTGCTGGTGTCTCTTGCGGGTTGATGCGAAATAAACTCTAATGCTCTTCACTTTGGCTGGATAACTTTAGAGGAGACTGGCGTTGACCAGATGACTCTAAAGTTGTCAAAATCTTCAAAAAGGAAAACTTGATGATTAAAAGTTACAGAATGACTCTGAGGCTCTTCTGTTGCTTTGGTTCAGTTGGTCTTGACTTGGCTTATAAAAATAAAAGATCGCGCATGTAGACAAAAATGATGTTACTTGGAGCTTGTGGCAAAGAAAAATAAAAGACGCGAAAAGTGCAAAAATGACTAAGAGCCATGAGTTTGTGGCTAGCAGCTTAGAGCTAAGAGTTTACATGGCTACAGAGCCGGGCTTTGAGCCGGGACTCTGAGCTTTGAGCAAAGATCTCAGCTTCTAGTTTCTGCATCGTTTTCTAGCTTCAGCTTTTCAGCCTCTAGCTTTTAACTTTGTTTCTTGCATCTTCTTCTTTCTTAGCATCTGGGTTTCTCTCCTCTTTTTCTGACCAATGTGTGAATTGTTCATGACTGTTTTATCCCCTGGGGGCTGGCGCATGTTTCAGGGTTGTCACTCATCTTCTCCTGTGTTTCCACTTGGAGAAGAGAGTAATTTTCCACTGAACTTTGGAATAATTTAATTCTAGAGTTTACTTATAAACTCGCACATCCATCTTCCACCATGACCACAAAACATTAAGTGAAATAACATATAAAACTACTTGCACTAATAATGGCAGAGAGGAGTAATAGGAATGTTGATTTCATATTACATCCTTCAAAACCTGGAATTAATCATGATACAAGTGGTTTAATTGATCAAACAACAATATAAACATTTCCCAGAGCTAACGTCTATAAATGTGGATTACACAGCAGTTCTTTGACTGTAATAATAGATAATATGGACATGCTGGATGTCATGTAGTTTGTGTTACCTCGTGTGAAGGATGCTGACAGTATGGTCACATGAAGGACATTGTCTTAAAATCTACATGTTACATTTCAAACATTCTATGGGATAGAAGTTTGGGGTTAAACTATTGCATAGGAACATCTCATGAGTTACAGAACAGCTAGATATTTAATTTTACATTCTTCCTCAGATCTGTGTCTGTGAGGAGAGTTCTGCTGGTCACTACCCAGGATTGGAATGTGGGTTGTAGTTTATGACTCTTATCTAGAGAAGGACAGAGGAAGGGAGGTTGGTGTGTGTGTTCATGCATGGCACAGAGAGGCCAGGATTCACACCTTAGTGTTAATCAGTCCTTTTGTTGTTACTTGTCCTATACAAGAAACAATCAAATATCATTAGACAGGGTCTTATTGTTACAAACTGGAGATTTTGCCTATATTCTCCAGTTGCCTGGTGTCCATTGGTTGATCCTCTGGAGCTGACCCTTTGACCTTTGGTCTGGTTCTGTGTCTCTCTGACATGCTAAAAGCATGGTCTGCTTGTGGAAGAGGGGTCCTTTGTCTCTGTTTCCTATCAATTTCATAGTTTGATGGTGGGAAGAGTCGCAAAGTGTCAATTGTGGATCTGTAACTCTGCATGTCCTTACAATGAACTTCCTTAATGGCTTGTGACTGATGCCAGGCCAGGTATGTACGCTACACCTCCATACTGTCACAGCTCAGTATGAAGCAAACATCTGAACTCAGCTTCAGTGTTAACGACAGATGAGTAGAAAACAAAGTTTAGATATTAAAACAAACCTAGGTTTATTAAAAGAAGCTGTAGATAGCATTAAATTATGGGTGGAGGGGGAGTGTGATGTACATTAAGTGGGGGGTAACGGGTGGGTGAGCTCAGTGGAGTGGATGTGACTTTAAGAGAGGCTTCAGGTCAGATGGAAACAACTTTTAATACTTGCCAGTGTTTTTCATGTAGCTGATAAAATGTCTGATAGAGATGATGGTTCGGAAGTGATGGAAGGTCATATTGTAGAGTCATGGCTTCTTGCACATGTTTTATTTTGCAGAAAGAATTTTCCTCAACCTAGAATAGAAAACTTTTAAAGTTCAGTAAGTTTTCATTCATTTGTGTGAAATAATTATTGTATATTTTTCCTACTATCAACAAACCTCATGACAAACCAAGCTGCTAAATGGAATTGAACCATCATTCATTTATTTGCATCTGTGATTTTTTTTACAGTCACAAAATGTCACAAAAAGGTTTATATACACATTAATGAGTCACACTGTTGCCCAGGGCAACATGTTCCTTCATCACCATGAACACACACACTGTATTTTATTTTCTCAGTCACACATACACCGTCCTACTCCCACAAATACTCACTACAGCACCTAATGTGGATTAATCTGCTGCTGAAAACAGTCCCCAGCAAAGACTCTATTTCCTCCTGATTACCTGTAAATGTGAAAACTAGTGACCAGATGTTTCAGTAAACTGCAGTGTGTGAGGCTCTACATGCTCACACTGACAATGTTAACATGCTGATGTTTAACAGGTATGTTCCCAGATAGCAAAAATGATTTGGCCTTGGCCTGGATCATAAAATCTGTGTCTAATCGTCACAGTGGACCTGGGCCAGTGTCCTTTCATATAATGTGCCAATACCGGCATGGATCCATTTTTAAAAAAAATCTGGGCTGGCTCCAGGCCGGCTGAAGATTCTTTTATGGTGATCCGGCCCAGATCTGTACTGGATCGGGCCCAAGTGAGGGTTGGCTCTATTATGGATCTGGGCCGGATATGGATCCGGATCTTGCACAGACTTGGGTCAGATCTGGTCAAGTCTGGCCAGTGGGAGCATGAATATGTGGTAAATGTGCCAGATTTTATGGCCATTAGTTTTTAGCATATTTCATCACGAACATCAAAGTCGTGACTGACTGACCAATCTCTAGCATGTGGAAAAATGAAACTATAGTATAAATATTATAATCGTCAGTGTGCTGAGAGTTACAGTCAGAAAAGAGACAGACTAACACACTGTTGGTTTTGGTCTTTTGTAACATTCGTGAGCAGCTGGTTGTCTGTCATCAGTGTTGTTATCTGAGGCCTGGTGCCTGACCTCAGCAGTGCCGTCAGGTGTGACAGTTCGCTCCACAGAAGTCACCATATCAACCACAGATACATCCTCCCAGCACAGGAAGGACACTGAAACCTCCAGCCCACTCTACCCTCCCCAGGACAGGGATTTACCTCACTGTCAGGAGGGTGTGGCTCCATCCTGAAGCTCGTCTGCTTTAACTTCATTGGGGTCATCAGGGCTGCTTTTTGGATCAGGCACAGGAATCCTGGGTCTGGATCTTCATTCTCAAACAGAACCCGGAGCACAAGGCTTTCACCACAGCCAACCTCGGCAACCTAGGTCAGTGGCTGTGTGCTGTAAACCTTCATTTTCTATGTTTTATTTGATGAACCTGTCAGTGTTTGTAGTAAAAGTGTTGGTGTTGTTGTGTTTGCTCTGACGTACAGTGATGCAGATGGATCTGTCCCAGTGTGATGCACAGAGGCTGCTGGTGGCTTCCTTATCCTTTACAACAAGATTAATGATGAACTGTTACTGGGAAGATACATCTCTCATCACAGACAAACACACAAATATGCACACACACGCATGCGCGCACACACACACACACACACATACACACACACACACACACACACACACACACGTGCAGACACACACACACAAACACGCACAGACAGTCTTCTGCTTTGTGCTGTGGCTTCATGCAAATGAAGCGATCTGACCTAATCTAACCTGCAGCATGTCTGTCTGTGTGTGTGCTCTCAGAAAACATCCTGTTAGACAGCAGCTTAGTACAAAACACTGATGATGTGAATGTAGCCTCACGTCTGTCTGTTTCTTCCATGTGTCCATCAGTTGAATGGATTCATTGATTGAAAATCTATTTACTTTACTGTTAACCCTCAACACAAAGACCTGCCATTGGCTATGACAGTGAATGCATCCTGTTTAATATATTCTCATTTCAGAGGGACATGACATTAAACTTTAGTGTCTCTGTTTAGAGGATGCACCAGTACAAAAAATGCAGTTTAGCAACATTTGCAGCAAAATACATAAACAGTATTTCAAACATAAAGTCATGAGTAGTTTTTGTTTATCAGTTAAGCTCATACAGAGAGCAGGAAACCGAAGAAACCTAAGTCAGATCAGTATTTGCTGTGACCCCCCCTCTGCCTTTAAACCAGCTCCAGTTCTCCTCAGTACACCTGCACACAGGTCTTCAGGTACTTGTGGGTTGTTCCAGCATCTTGAAGAACCTGCCACAGTTCTTCTGTATAGCAGAAGTTTAGCATTGCACAAATTAATAGGCTATTTAGCATGTACAAAGCTCATAAAAATGATTACCATAAAAATAAAGATATCAAGTATTATCTTAAAGAGTTGTGTAAAAAAAAAATCCAGGACAAATAACATAAAGTTATTCGTTATTATTTTATGGCTGTTTAAGCACAGGGTGCATTAACATCATCATTTATTTTCAAGGCCAGAATATTGACTGTACAGTGAGTGTATCTGTGTAATTTAATCTGTTTAATTTGTGTAAAAATCGAGATCACGTGTCTATCTTTTTATTCTGTGAATGTAATGTGCATGGATCATAAACTACAGCAGGTGCTTTACATGATCTGTATAGTGTAAAAAAAAAAAAAAACGTACCTGCCAGGTAGAGGTTTGAGCCCCTCCTCCAGCGGGCACCACGCCCCTCCTCTGAGCCTCAGCCGGGCAACCTGAGCGGGACTGAGCGGCCCACCTGGCTCACCTTACAGCCGCTCTGAAACTCAATGCCACGGTACAAAGGTCCCGGGAACTAATCAGTTATTGTCAGAGACTGCGTCTCTCTGGAGTCACGCAGTCTGCCGGTCTTCATGTTGACATGGAACCGGTCCACCGGGGTCTGGGTCGCTGTCAATGCTGTTTCTGGCTCGCAGTAGTCTTTGACATCGTGGGACTGGCGGTTCTTCTCATCGGTGTGTTTGTGAACGTCTTCTTCTATGATCTGCTCATCTACGCGGGCGCCATCGTCATCTTCCTCAGCCTCATCTGGTGGGTGTTCTGGTACTCCGGGAACATCGAGGTGCCCCCGACGGAGCTGGAGGATGACGTCGGTTTACTTAAGAAGGACAAGGGGGGCATCGGCGGCGTGGTGAGGCGCCTCTCCAGCCGCGTGTCCAGCGGCATCAGGAACTCGTTCCGCAGGAACGGAGCGCCGTCCGGTACCCGCCGTGGCCAAGCGCAGAGGTCAGCCGCCGGGCTGCCTGTTGCTCCGCAGGCGGAACAGGTGGTCGTTGCTATGGCAACCATGGGCCCGCAGGAGAATACCCCGCACATTGTCTCCTCGGTGGCGGGCTGTGACATAGAGATGCCGCACACAACTACAGAGAGCTCACCTACATAAAAAGTAGGCGGACAGGTGAGGCCTGACGCACAACACTGACTGTACTGTGGCTGTAGACCTGCTGTCAAATGACACAACACAAAATACACAGCTGAAATGAGCACGAGGTTCATTGTAACTGTTTGAGCCCTGAGCTCCATTTAGACCAAAACACTTGGTAATGAAACCTTTCTTCCTGCCTGCGCACGTGCACTGTAACATATATAATGCAGATTTAACAGGTTATTTTCTCTGTAGGTTATTGTAGATTAACTGCACGTCTAACTGTTGATTTTCTGTTTAAGAGGCCTCTTCACTCTGCCACAAATACAGCTCTAAAGATATGCTAATACTTTTTAATTAAAATTTTTATGCTGTGTTTTATTTTATATTTAAACACAAAAACTGTTGATTTTATATTTCAAAATATATTAAAATAAAAGAAGCAGACTGTATAAAACCATGTGCCATACATGTGTAGGCTGAATGTAAAATCCCCCACAGGTCTGTGATATCAGTGGTCAGGTGCTCAAACACTGGTAACACATGGTCTCAACACAATATTATAGGAATGAAGCTAAACTAATTTAACATAAGCCATTACTATTATCAGTAATATTTTACATACCAGTGAATATGCGAAGGTGAATATTAAGACAACAACAAAGTATTTGTGTTTCAATATGAAACCTACTAAAACAAGCAGGTTCAAATATACTGGAATCATAATCCTGTTTTAAATGTATTTGTTGAAGGATTTAAAATTGAGTAAATTATCTTTATTCAATAGTTTATCCTAGAATCCTAAAACTATGGAGAAGAAAAAAGAAAAACTTGTTTTAATGAGGACTTCCTCCTTCCTGAGTTATTTCATTTAACTGTGCAACTGAAAGGAGTACCTGTGGCTGTGGCAGAACAAAGCTCTTATCAGTGGATAATCATTAACCACAGTTCACTGCTCACTGAGAGACAAGCCCTCAGTTTAAACAATATCAGGCTCACCTGAAACTTCCCAGTCATCCACAGACTGATGGAAAGGTGTCTGACGAGATAACTCAAACATCAAACTCATCTCCATTCTGTACACAAACTTTAATAACAATGTTGTTTTCATTTCCTCTCCCACAGATATTTTGTTATTAGTTTCTTGCAGCACTGAACAGAGGCAAGCCTGCACCACACTGTCCTGAGCCGTCTACACTTGACTCCAGTTGATGTTCAGGTTTTTTTTTTTTTACAGTTTGTGTTTAATGAGAAATTATTCCTAATTGATCAGGATGTATGGAGGAGGTGTTAGCAGCTGGACATAGATGTCATGTCTTTAATCAGTACGTCAGATGTCTGGCAGCTTGGACTTGGATCAATACAGACAGCGTATTCATAATGTGATGACAACTGCACACTGTTATATAAACTATGAACAGCATCTTTATGTCTCTGTTTGTTGGAGAAATCATAATTTTTATGTTGAAGTAAAATAAACATTGTGTTGACCAGAATAACTGTTGCCCTGATGGTTCATCTAATCACCTGCAGAGTATTTTTTGAAAGCACCTGTCCTTTTCCAAACTGTTTCCAACGAAGCGTTCCAGGTGGTTCTGTGTTACAAACCAAATGTTGCGTCAGGTCAAGGTTTACTGTGGGGAGGCCACATCCTATATTCACCTTGTTAATTCATACATTACTTCTACTATACATGCACACAGGGGTGGACAGTAACAAAGTACATTTACTTCAGTACTGTACTTAAGTATATTCTCCAGTATTTGTTCTTTACTTGTTCTTACCTTTTTTTGTAAACGTCTGACTTTTACTCCTCTACACTTAAAGACTAATATTGTACTTTTGACTCCTCTACATTTCTATGAAGTACTTTTACTTTGAAGCAAAGCTATTAGTCAGTGAAATGAATTTTCTTTTATTTTGAAAATGTGATATATCATACACTGTGTTCATCACAGGAGAAAAACCAATCACAGCCAACTCCTCCACTGTCAGTCATGTTTGAACTTGTTAGTGGCGTCTCCATGGCTCATCTGGTAAAATACCACCTGGAAATAAAGAAACATTAATTTAGTTTGAAATGTTTTCTGTGTTTACCAAGACCAGTCTTCATCACTGACTAAAAAAAGAAATATGAAAACCACAAAGGCTCCTTTAGCTGATTCAGTTGTGTTCTACAGTCAGTCAGTCAGTCAGTCAGTCAGTCAGTCAGTAGGTTGTTTCAGAGTCATTAGGTTCTGTAAATGTAGAACAATACAACAATGTGTTGACATAAAAATGTACTTTTGAATACTTCAGCATCTTTAAAATCAAGTACTCCAGTACTCAAGTAAAAATGTGACTGAACAACTTTCAATTGTATTGGAGTCATATCTGACCTGGAGGACCCATACTCTGACAGGAGCTTTTTTTCCACCTGGGCACACACACTCATACACTGATGGAACAGCCATCACTGGACTGGAGGAGGAGCTGGGAATCAAACCAACGACCTTCTGATAAGTGGATGACCCGCTCTACCTCCATAGCCACAGCTGCCATAATGCCATAATCACATAATCAGCCACGACAACCTTCCCTACAACTACCGATTCACTTCGACTACTGATTCATGAAATCTAGAGATGGATGGACCAAAACTTCCTGCAGCTGAAATTCAACACAAACTTGTCTTTCAGCTTTTGTAACTTCCTGGTTTCACTACTGTAACACACTTTTCTCTGGCTTATATTTAATCATCCGACTGCAGGTCTCAACCCACTGAGTCAGACAAATAACTACTAGCTAGACTATTGAATTACTGATGTAAATATGTTGATTGAAGTGGAGTTTATGTGAGACCACATGTGTCCTAGGTAAGGATTGGGTGGGTAAGGATAACTACATAGACGTGTCTGACTGTGCAACTGAAGCACCATGGATATCAATAGCTTGCACCATTTTACAAATGATGTGGTGTTCTTTCTGAGGCCTGAAATGAAAATACATTGATTCATACCTTCCTCACTTTTAACTGAGTATAAGCAGCATAATAAAAGCAACCGGCTGAGCAACCACACCCCTCAGGTGATAAAGCAGAAGCAGCTTCTGTTGTGATAATAGCAGTAAATGTGGAAATGTGGATCAGGCTTTCAGCTCTACTCGTGTATACAGTGTGACCCTTACACTAGACACTATGGTCATGACTCCTCTTATTATATTACTGTATGTTGGGACTTACAATTACATGATTCAAGAGGGAATGCAAATATGTAATGTGATCAATAAACGTGAGCTGGTGACTGCTGTGGAAAAATAGGTGTAGCTGGCAACAGGTCTCCTCGTTCCCACTCATGGTGATAACAAGCCTCAGTGTCCAACCTTTGGAACCAGCTTCACTTTATTATTCTGCTTTTTCCTCTGACTGTACCTGTACTTACATGATCAATTCTACCAGCAAGTACACTGCAAACAAGTCTATTCAATCACTTGCAATAATTTAACACACCATCTGTGCAATATCTCTCATATGCTGTTATTTTTTTGTTTTTTGTTATATTTAAATATCTAATTGTAGATATTATATTATCATAAAATGTATCTTTTTAAAGTATTTGATCTTGTCATTTTGCAGTTTTTCTTTCTTGTACTGTCACGTTGCTGCTGTGATACTGCAAATTTCTCCACTTTGGGACTAATGAAGGAATATCTTATCTTAATGTTGAAGGGAGTGTTGACATGTTTACCATGACAATGCATTTCTTCCAGATGTGGAAAAGTAAGTCCTACTTAAACAAACATGCTGAGAGAATAATGCATTAAATGGAACAAAAGACACTAACAGTGTCAAAAGGAGGAAGAAAACAGCTGAGCTAGAGATGGTGATGAGTTTTACAGGGTGAAGTGCATTGAATCCCACAGGGCAGAAAACTGATCCACTGTCTTCATGACTTAAAACCATACACATGAAATGGAATTTATGGGCGGGGCCATTTTCGCCAGTATTTTGGAAATACTGAGGTCACAAGGCACCACCTGGTACAAGGTATTTGGATTGTGCTGAAACTGTTCCTGTAAAAGCAATTTACCTTTTCCACTACAGACATTTTCACTTGTCACAGTAGGGAAAGTGCAAGTGTTATTTATAAGAGATGGCTTCATTAAATTTAGGTGTCCCAGTAAGCCATACTGGTGAGCCAGCATGCACAATACCAGGGCCCTGAAACTTAAACTGAACATGAAGCATTATTAATGATATTAGTAAAAAGTGTTGTTTTCCTGCTGTGGTGAGTGAAAATGTCTGCTGTGGAAAAAGCTCCATCTTCTTTCTCTCAGTGTCATCAATAATAAATCTAATACAGATCTGTAGATTTGTATGACTCTTTAGTCTCCATTGTACAATGCTTGATACAGCCAGATGGCTCCTACTGGATAGAAGACGATGTCAGTAACACATCCTGGTCAGCTCCTCTTAATGGTCCCCTTTGTCTCTGTCGGTTCCATCTGACTGGGATAATTCACCTCTATGTATTTGATCTTTGTCTTCAGTAGTTACATTTTTTCAGTAATGGTGAAACTGTTTGTTAAATGTATTTTTGACTAAAAAGTTATATTTAGCCTAAAAAAATATATCGGAATCAACCTTAAAGTAAATCTGTAACTTTTCCACATGAAAATGTCTAAAAACAACCAGACTTATGTTCTATATGTTGTTGAGTTGTGTTCTTACATTATCACAAATGTTTCCATCAATTCTCAAACCAGAGAAATCTGTGATTTTAATCATGGTAACAGTACGTGTCATTGGTCTCCTGTCAATGACATCATATCCTCTATGATCATGTGTCAGTGTGTTTGTCTGACAGAAGCTCAACATTGACTTTTATCTAGTTTTAAGCCACATACACTTTTTACACCTCGGTGGTTTTCAGCTCTATATTTGAACCAGATGAAGGATTTTAGTCGTCGGACGTCTGGATCTGAAGTTATCAGAGAAACAAGCTGAGGAAATGTTAGACAGCTCAGCTCCCAGCTGCTGGAGACGTCCTGTCCTATATCCACTGAACTGTGTCGGTGAAACACTAATTTTAGATGTGAAACTATTTTATTCAGTGTTTTTACTAGTTATAATCCCCTGGTCTGGAGAGGAGGACACCTCTGTGGATAGTTCAGTTCCAGGTAAAAATCTCCTGAACCACTGATACTGAAGGAATCCGAACTGGGAGAAGCTTATGGTAATGGTGGTAAAGACAATGACTCCCATGATCCCACGCTACCTCATAACATCAACAACAACAACAACACTGTCTTTTGTTGTTGTTTTGATTGAGAGACCCCTAGTGGCAGAAGTTACAGACTGTGTGTTTAAAGTAGGTCTTCTTAAAAAGCCTAGTCTTGATGCAGGTGTGTTATAGAGCTGTGTCTAACCCCAACCCCAGCTTTCTCTCCAACATCCTCAAGGAAACAGTCACCAATCAGTTGTGTGACTTTCTACAGAATAATAGGTTTATTTGAGGATATTCAGTCAGAATTTAGATGCATTCTAGCACAGAGACAGCACTGGTGAAAGTTACAAATGACCTTCTAATTGCATCGTACAAAGGACTCTGTACTTGTCTAGTTAGTGCTGCATTTGAAAATAATAACCATTGCATCCTATTACGGAAACTATCCTACTGATTGATTTTAGTTTGTACATGGTAATGAGGAATCCTCCATGCACGCAAAAGTTAGACATAGCATGTACGATATATGACCAGCAATTCTCTACTATTAAACATAGACAAAAGTGAAGTTATTGTACTTGGCCCCAAGAACCTCAGAATCACATGATCTAATAATATATGAAATTTTTGATCAAGTCAAAATTATACAAAGTCAAAATTTTGACTGAGGCTACTTAAATGCACCATCTGTAATTTCTGCCTCTAGGGGTCTCTCAATCAAAACAATAGTGATGATGGCGATGACATGATATAGCGTGGGATCATGGGAGTTGTTGTCTTCACCACCATTAACATAAAATTCTCTCTGTTTGGATTCCTTTAGTGTCAGTGGTTCAGGAAATCAAACACACCCGGTGATTCTAACTGTTAAAAACACCGAATAAAGCAGTTTCACATTTAAAGTCAGTGTTTGAGCGACGCTGTACTGAGACAAGAGACATCAGGGAGGAATTGGAGCTGAGATTGATGCTAACCTTTGTTCTGATTGTTTCTCTGATAACTTATGAACCAGACGTTCAGCAGGTTTTTACCAGCAGCTGAATTATCCACAGAGGTGTCCTCCTCTCCATAACAAACACACCAGGGGATTAAAACCAGTAGAAACACCCAGAATGCAGTTTACCTTAAAGATCAGAGATTCACCGACGCGCTTCAGTGGACACAGGACAGGACGTCTCCAGCGACTGGAAGCTGAGCTGTCTAACATTTACTCAGCTTATTTCTCTGACAACTTGTGCAAAGAGAGCCAGTGTCACCCACATTTACAGAATTCTTCTTTGAAACAATACAAAAAGCCAAATCCTGTATTACCTCATTACATGGCCTTGTCTTAAAGATTGTCCCAGTGTCAAAATGTCTTTCCAAATGTTGCATAATATAATGCAATATAACATACTTGACGTGCTTAATGAAATAACTACAGTAAACCTGT